AACCACCAGCACTTTTAAGATGACCCTGGGGGCTGCAGAGAGTCCGAAAGGAAGCACTCTTTATTGGTAGTGTTAAGAATCTACAACAAAATGAACACACCTGTGAGCAGAGTGGATGGCAATGTGAAAATATGCACCTTGCAAGTCAAGGGACGAGAACCAGTCATCCTTTTCCAATGCCAGTAATATGGTTGTAAGCATTACCACCTTGAATTTTTGTTTCTGTACGATTTCATTGAGTGCTCAAAGATCCAGTATGGGCTTCCAACTCCCTGATCTTTTCTGTGTCAACAAGTAGTGGGAGTAGAATCCAACTCCCTGATCTTCTCTCTGTCAAGAAGTAGTGGAGTAGAATCCCTTGCCTCTAAATTGTGTAGGGACTGGTTCAATCAGTCCAATGCCTAAGAGGTGCTCCACTTCTTGTTGAAAGGGGCTCTCGTGGGGGGCGGAGAGGGGATATGGAAACAAGGGGATAAGGTAGTCTTTCTGAAGTATCTGCAGGACCCATCTATCAGAGGTTACACGTTGTCAGTTGTTGAAGAAAGGCAACAATCGGTGATGGAAGAGATTTGCTTGCAGCAATGGCGTTGGAATAGGTGAGAGGCCCTCCAGACCCTTCACCTGATGATCAAATTTGCTTGTTGGACTGCTGTGTCTGTTGAGAATTAGCAGAGGAAGGGCGACATCGTTGGTTTCTGCCTCTGTTCTGCTGCTGGTGGTCTCATCTATTTTAGTGTTATGTATTGTGACACCCTTTTACAAAGTCCCTTGGTAGCTCCCTGGGAGTTCTGCTCTTCTTGACGGATACTTGAGCACTTGAGAGACTCACGGAGCCCCCTCTGTTGTCCTGAGATTTCCCTAGAGGCAAGGGTCTCCACTTAAAGTCATTCTCATCACAGGCTAGTCCTTGGGATTCAACATTTCCTTGCTCTGCTCTGTTCCCCAGCTCTCTTCTGTGCACCTTCCAAAAACTCTCCCCCCCCCCGCTGCTTGGGAGGAATCCTTTTATAGGAACCCCAGAGGCCTTAATTGGCAGGAGGTGCTTAATTAACCCCAGCTGCAAGCTGCCTCCTAATTAGGCCTCTATTTTCTATCCTGGCTGCTGGGCTGTATTCAGGTGAGGCTAATTTGGAAACAAGAAAGCATTAACCCACCTCCCAATATGGCTGCCATCTAGAAGAGTTTTGCAGTTTGCAGACTGTGGTCTGTCACAGTATATGGAAGATATCAAGGTCTTGGATGAAGCTAATACCTCTTCTGGCTTTTTCTAGGTGGTTGGCTGTGGATCCCGAGAGACTGC